CAAATTACTAGCAATGCTGTCTTTGTGAATTCACTCAGAGTACAACAGAACAGGTCCGTCTCACTAGCTATTAATTTGAGCGTAAGGTTGGTCCGACCGCGCGGCTCCACCAACAGTCGCGGCTGTCGTCGTGAACATAGGTTTAATTGACCTAACATGTCAGCGTTATGCAAGTTTGTTCTGAGTATTTTAAAAATATACGAGGTTATCGCAAGTTCCCTTGTAACTCTTAGTTCATTATATCCTATAAAATGGGTATACACCATAATAACCACTGACCTTACAAATTGCATTAATAAATGCCTATCAAATGGTTCATTTCCTTACAGCCTAAAAATTGCGAAAGTCAGCCCAATCCATAAATCTTGACCAAAAACTGATCCTAGTAATTACAGACCCATATCGGTGCTCCCTGTTATTTCTAAAGTGTTTGAAAAAGTAATATATAAAAGACTTAACGAGTATTGTAACGCTAAAAATTTTTTCATTGAACAACAATTAGTTTTTAGATCAAAATCTAATACATTGTCAGCAGCAATTGATGTAGTTACAAAAATAAAGACAAACATTGATCGAAAACATGTCTGTTTGGGAATATTCATAGACTTAAAAATGGCTTTTGATACGGTAAGGCACTCAAAACTATTACAAAAGCTAAATAATATAGGAATAACAGGTACAGCACTATATATGTTGGCCTCTTATCTCGCTAACCGCCAACAGATTGTACAAATATCTAACTATAAAAGTGATCCTCAACAAATTACCTGTGGCATTCCACAAGGCTCAATATTAGGCCCTCTGTTATTTCTTACATACATAAACAACATAGTAAATTTAAACCTATCAGGTCATTTATCACTCTACGCAGATGACACTTGTCTAAAATAGACTTTGCACATTCAATTCATGAAGTTATATCACAAGCACAAAAGGATTTGGATATATTAAATGAGTGGTTTTCATACAATCTTCTCACAATTAATGTGACCAAAACATCATTTATGATTTTCTGTGCTAAAAATAAAAAAATACCTACCTACACACCACTTAAGATTAATAATATTACTCTTAAAAGATCTAAAAAAGAAAAGTACCTAGGTCTATTATTAGATGACAAACTGATATGGGACTCTCATATAGACAAAATAACATCAAAATTAGCATCACTTACGGGAGCATTACGAAAGGTGTCAAACTGTATTCCATACAAAATCAAAACTACTATTTATAACGCCCTAGCCAAGCCACACCTGGAGTACCTTATAGAGAAGTAAGAAAAAGTGTAACAAATTAATTATAGGTATTCATATAAGAATGAAACATAATAGAATTATATAATGCATGTTACCGTGTAAATACTGGTAATATTATTTTGTGTGTATACTTAATCTCTGTAAAAGTGAACAATGTGTTCTTTAAGAGAAATAAATGTCTTTAACCCGATATATAAATATCTAATAAATTTATTCTGTACTCGCTTTAGCATGAGACTATACTTAGTTTCATGCGGAGCCCAGACGACTGTATTACATTCAAGTTGACTCCGTACCAATGTATTATACAAGGCGACAATCGCTTTTATGTTTGAGAATACTCCGACCGTACGAAGCATAAATCCTAGATTTTTATAAGCTTTTTTTACAGATGTTTTTGAGATATTTATATAAGCCCTGTGTTAAAAGTTACTCCTAAATCTTTAACTTCTCTGGCCCTTGTCATCGGCAGCCCGTCAATGTGATATTTATTTAAAATAGGAGTGTGCGCAGGAGAAAAACAAATAATAAAAACTTAGAGCTGTTAAATAGCAAAAGATTGCATTTGCTCCAATTCACAAGGTAAAGAACTTTCTTCGTGGTAACGGTTTTAGTCGAACTGATCGCGATTGGACAGTAATAAACCGCGACGAGCGGCGCCGGGACACACAAGACTATTGTGTGCGTGATCAAAGCTATTTTATTTCCTTCCCCGGGACTTCTCGATACCAAATTTCATCAAAATCGATTCAGCGGTTTAAGCATAAAGAGGTACATTTACTCACGCGGCGATGAGCGATGTTTCCCCCATCTCGCCCGCAGTGCGCCCGACCGCCCTGCGCGTGCTGGACCGCACAATTTTATATCGGCGTTACTTTTAAAATATTTGACCAAATGAAGTAGTTTAAAAGACAAATTTATGTACTTTGAACATCAGAAGCGATTAAAGTATTTATTTTGATAATATCCATTTGTTACTGCAAAATGTGCACTGGAAATAAAGTATCAAATTTTATTGTATTTAAGATTCACTATTTTGGTAATAATGGCTTACATATAAAAAGATAGATATATACTATCGCGGACTTTTTTGTAAAACTATTTGGGAGAAACAATTCCACCATACATTATATTTGTATAACTCTTACAGTTTTTGCACTGCACGCCAAAATAGCTCGCAGATGACAGATTTTTCAGACCTAATTAAAGTAAGTCTGAAAAATCTGTCAAAAAGTAAGTTACTTTACACTTATCGTTATATTTTGATCAATTCACACAGTATATTTATTAATAATTATAGCCTATGTGTTATTCCGATGTATGAGCTATATTATTGTAAAGTTTCATTAAAATACATTCAGTAGTTTTGAGTGGAAGAGTAAATAAGCGGCCAAGTGTGAGTCGGACTCGCCCATGAAGGGTTCCGTAGCAGCAAGTAACATAATTTACGATTTATGACGTTTAAAAAATAACTACTTACTAGATCTCGTTCAAACCAATTTTCGGTGGAAGTTTACATGGTAATGTACATCGTATATTTTTTTTAGTTTTATCATTCTCTTATTTTAGAAGTTGCGGGAGGTGGGGGGACATACATTTTACCACTTTGGAAGTGTCTCTCGCGCAAACTATTCAGTTTAGAAAAAAATGATATAAGAAACCTCAATATCATTTTTGAAGACCTATCTACAGATACCCCAAATGTATGGGTTTGATGGAAAAAAATTTTTGAGTTTCAGTTCTAAGTATGGAGAACCCCCAATAATTGATTTTTTTTTCTATTTTTGTGTGAAAATCTTAATGTGGTTCACAGAATACATCTACTTACTAAGTTTCAACAGCATAGTTCTTATAGTTTCGGAAAAAAGTGACTGTGACATACGGACGGACAGACAGACAAACATGACGAATCCATAACGGTTCCGTTTTTTGCCATTTGGCTACGGAACCCTAAAAACATCCATACATCCTCATAAACTTACACGTTTATAATATTAGTAGGTTAATATCAATTACCAAAATAGTATCTCGCAATGTATATATCATCATCATTATCATCATCATCATTATTACAGCCTTTCACAAGTCGACTGCTGAACATAGGCCTCCCCCAAGGAATGCCACAAAGCACGGTCCTGAGCCACCTGCATCCATCGACTTCCTGTATGTCTTACCAGGTCGTCACTCCATCTCGTGGGGGGTCGCCCTACACTTCGCCTACCGGTACGAGGCTGCCACTCAAGAACCTTTCTTCCCCATCGGTTGTCGGTTCTTCGAGCTATATGGCCGGCCCACTGCCACTTCAGCTTACTAATCCGTTGGGCTATGTCGGTTACTCTAGTCTTACTGCGGATATCCTCATTTCTAAGTTTATCACGCAGAGAATCTCCGAGCATAGCCCTCTCCATAGCTCGCTGAGCGACTTTGAGCTTCCTCATATGGCCAGCAGTGAAGAACCACGTCTCAGATCCGTAAGTCATCACTGGCAACACGCACTGGTTGTACAATTTCGTTTTAAGGTTTTGAGGTATGTCTGACGAGAAGATGTGTCGTAGTTTCCCGAACGCTGCCCAGCCAAGTTGAATCCGTCGATTGACCTCTCGGTCGAAGTTGGACTTACCTAGTCGGACTATTTGTTCCAGGTAAACATACTCGTCAACAACTTCGAGCTTAGTGCTCCCAACAACTACCGGCATAGGTGTGACATGGACATTAAACATAATCTTTGTTTTGTCCATGTTCATCTTAAGACCTATCCGTTGGGAGACACTATTGAAGTCATTGAGCATAGTGCTTGTATAATATATAATGGATATATATTAAGATGAAAATAGACTAGGCAAAGGGCATGTGTAGCGTTCATGCAAGTAGTCGTTGGGAGTACCTAGGACAAATTGTTCGATTAGGTAAGTTCAAGTTTGACCAAGAGGTCAATCGAAGGATCCAACTCGGCTGTGTAGCGTTCGGGAGATAAAGACATCTCTTGATCAGAAAGCTGAAGAGGTAACGGGCCCCATATAGCTCGAAGAACCGACAACCAAAAAGAAAGGTTCTCGAGTGGCAGTGAACCAGTACAGTCTGCTAAATTTCACGAACTTCCCCTGCGATAGAAATCTAAATTCCATCTATGGTTGGCGGTGCCAACCAACCAACGAACGGCAATCCATATATTTTTTTCAATTACATTTTTTGTTAAGTAATCTAAAGTGAATCGGTTAGAAAATAAACTTATCATATAATTCTATGTCTGTAGTTATTGTAACGTTAACAGTAGTATGGATTTGATGTCTAGCTAAAAGTATGAGAACGATTTTATCTCCCTCATGTTGTGAGGCGTGCAATAACAAAAATAAACAAATATTGAGGTAAAAACAAAAAGCGGTCTTATTGGTGTATAGCAATCTCCTTCCAGACAATCCAGAGGAAGGATTAAATAAAAATAAGGAAAAATACCAACTTATGCACTAAAAAGACAACATTTTTTATGTAGATCAATGACGATAAATAAGAGGAGGAAAAGAGAGGGGTTAGCGACACAAATAGTGTTCCTTAACCCGTTTCACCAGGAATTTTAGCTACGCATGACCAAATAATATATTGCGAAAATTACTGTCGCCAGCACTTTTTCTTTTTGTTTCAATTTGTGATTACGTAAGCCGTGTGCTAGTTAGCCCCCTCTTTTAAAAAAATCCCCCTTATACCTCTTTTTTTTTGCTCTGAACTCCTTATATCTTTCCTCCACAGATACGACCCGCGATTCGGCGACGCGTTCTGGAACAGTTCCCGATACGGGATGCTGCACTATCTCCTCAACATGATGAGCTCGTGGGCGATCGTCTGCGACGTGTGGTACCTGCCGCCGATGCATCGCGATCCAAACGAGACGGCCGTGGACTTCGCGAACCGGGTCAAGGCCGTGGTAGCGAGGAGGGGTGGACTCGTCGATCTCATGTGGTGAGTCCCGCTTTCTGACTACCATTACAGGTTCCAGGTTCGAATCTCAATAAAGCCGAGCATTTGGTTGTTAGTGAAACAATACACTGAAGACAACAACTGTAGAAATGTCTTTACGCCACGCTGCAGCTATATTATGGTTGGAGCACGAATGGGTCGGCTCGCTCGGGGAAGGACCACGCTCTGACAGAATACCAGCTTAAAATGCTGCTGTGTTTCGTGTGGTAGTGTAGAGAACTAGAGACCCTTTTTACTGGAAACGAGGCATTCCATCTCAGTCTTCACGGGTAACAAACGCGTCTGCATTTTGATTCGTAATCGAGGATAGATGTAGGTGTCTATGGGCCACAGCATCCACTTACCATCAGGTGGACGGTGTTTGTCACCCTTACTATAAAAAGAATGTATTTTTGGCTTAAGAGACGGCGTTAATGTATCCACTACCCCATATCGTCCCGGGGGTGTCGTAGTAGATAGTGGAAAACTAAAACAAATTTGTAGCAGCAGTTTTCCGATAACGAAATCAAAATAATAAAGTGATCTTCCTATGGAGCCTTGGCGGGAGGGAGGCTTATGTTCAGCAGTGGTCTTTGATGTTGCCATGAGGCTGCGATGAACGATTAACAGAATCTATCAATAATTACCCATGTCAGTCTGGGACTTATACATCCCATGTTTTTCGTGAGGCTTAAGAATAAAAAATATATCAAATGTGTTATATGCCTAGCATGTCATAGAGAGGCGACTAATTGTGATATTAGGTTTGTGATAGTGTAGGTGATAGGCTTCCCACCTCTAATTAAATTAATTAATTATAATTTTCAATCTATACCCATATTTTTTTGCTAAACGTGTTATGAGAAGCTCGTTGCTCTTTGTACTCTGCCTACTCTCTCGGGGCTTACAGGCGTGATACATTTATTACTTCTCGTGGGTGTCGTAAAAGGCGACTATGCGAAGTATCAGAAACATTCTGGTAAATAGAGATACATTATTATAAGGCCGAAAATAATTCTACGTTTAAAAACCATTCCTTTATATTTTTTTCCTATCTTTGAATATATATATTTTTTTAAGTATCGAGAAATGAAATTTTAAAACAATAATATGTTTTATCTCACTAATGCACCTGGATCTTATTACAAACATTTTTAATTTGAGATTCTTAAATAAAATTTAAATAAATTAACGCTTATGTGTGTTTAGAAATTTCCTTTCGCAATCTGTGTTTGATTCTACTATCAATGAAAAAACCGTTTAGATATTAAAACATGTTAAAAAATATAAAATGTTATAAATTAACAACTCTAATTTCTCATTCAACAGGGACGGGCAATTAAAACGAATGAAAGCGAAGAAGGAATGGCGGGAGTTACAACAAGAAGAGTTCAGCAAAAGACTGAAAGGGGAGTAGACCCCAATGTGCGAGGACCGATCCTGTCTCGAGTGAGACTCCACAGAGTCTGAAGAATGTCAGTGATATATGTTGTGATGAACTGTTTATATAATCGAGTTAATGTTGGATTGAAGAAAAGAAGAAAAGATAAGAATAAATACTAACTAACTAAACTAACATTAAAAACTGTATACATAAGAAACACTGTCACAGAATATTTATTAGTACAGGTTAGTGAACGCAAATAAAACATGGAAGCACTTCTAGCTAACAAAACAACAAACTCAAATTGCCCTGTGGACGAACCTAGTTCGAATATGTTTACAGTATACATTCTGGTGAGTGTGTATGCAGAAGTTGTTTGACTTATACCTCCCTCTCCATCCGATTACATATAGGTGTCTTCAAGGTCAGAGTGAATATGCTTTTATTAAGCTAAGTCAGTGCACATAACCAGTTTACCGGCTACATAACCACTTACCATCATTTGGGATACATAGAGGAGGACTACATACTCCTGTAATACTGGATTATAATAATTTAAAAAAATATCGTAACTTTTTTGCAATTTGCATTGCACCCTATCACATAAGTCATCCCTGGCGACGAGTGACGAGCATAATGTAAGCAACTTATGTGATGTATGGTAATTGAAACCAAAAGCTATTGAAAATAAGGTCAAATTTTGATTGTGTCTCCCGAAGTCATAATAAAATATAATAAACTGTTAGCTAACAGCGAGGGAGGTTTAATGTGTGAGTTCATTTGAAATACACAAATACATGGGATTTTTATTTGCGTTTACTGGTACAAAATAAAGAAGGTTCACTCTGCAAAAACATTTTAATAAATAGTGAATCTTGCTACAACGCAATAAAGTGTAGTTCAGCTCGTAACGCGTTAGCGCCTAATATTATATCCACCTACAAGGTAATTTTCTTTCTATATCATAACTCCATCTCTTCTAACACGACATAGGAGAAAATAGTGCGACAAATGTTTACACAAACACACAGACTCATAATTCAGTGGAGAAACTCAATAACCTAAAATATTTTTTTTTACTATAAAAGTATAGAGTTGCTAAAACCGGCTATATTTTTACTTATATTATAACGTATCTGTGTTTCTGTTAATATCACAAAAAGTAAACAATGTACTAATTGATTTTAGAAGCCTATCTATGGCCATATATAGGTCTCTTTTTAAAACAATGGTTGGTATTTTGTAAAGCAATATATTTTTATCAATTGCTCAAAAGCGATGTAACTAACTACAAAAGAGTAGGTATCCTGTTAAGGGAAAGGTGGTTTCTATAAAACTTATTCTTCTATTTATTGTAATTTAAGATTGAAAGCTCGAGTCGAGAGGTGTTTGATCTATTAGCGTATTCCGTCGGAGTAATCAAAATGGTGGATTAACCATCACAAAATACCAAATATGAAATATCGAAACGTTATTAGATGCACCATTAGATGCTCCCAGCAATAGAATCACCAATCCACTTTCAAAGCGTGACTTGGGGTACCCCAAGGCTTCCATTTTAGACCACAATTATTTCTCATGTATAATAATGGCGATGTTGGCAATTTGTAAATAAGTTATGTCTTCTGCAGTCTAGTTAAGAATGCAGTTCGGCCCATTGGAACATTGTAGTGCCACAAGTGCCACGCCTTGCTCGTGGATTGTAAATTTATTTGACTCACCCTAACTGACACTCAGAAGTCGAGGTTGGGTGATGTATCCTCTTTCACCGCCATCATAAAGCTTATTTTGTAACTCTACAGCGCGATCTTAGTTATAATAACTAAATATTTAAAACAATTTTAGTTGAATGCATTTAACTATTGGATGGCGGTCACTAAGCACTGTATGAAACAGACTGTTAAAAGGTGTTTTGATAAATGATTTTAGTTAAATGCCTGTATTATACAAATTATATGATAGCTGTTAGTTAATTTAAAACTAACGATGATATTTTAAAAAGTATAGATGCATTATGTGCAGCGCAACATGCTTAATTACAGTAATTTTAAAAAAATCCGACTCTTTTAAAAAAGCCTGCCTATGTCACTTCCACAACTAAGACGAATCTAACGACAGCCCGACAGACAGTGTGTGCCAAACAACTTACATACTCTCGAAAATCATTACCCTCCTTATGGGCCAGTCGGGTAATTCCAAACTGTCTATGTGAGAATTGAATAAGATACTACATAATAAGAATGAAAGATTTTAGGATATTTGTCCGTCTTCAGTCTATTAACATTTAAGATATCTATACTTTTCAAATATCATCGGAAGCAATAAAACCCCAGGTTTTGTTGGTGCCTCAGAGGTGAAACTTCGTTAACTTTGAGGGTAGTTCAGTAAAATGCATTAGTTTACTCAGGAAATTGTCAATGCATTAGTTTACTCAGGAAATTGTCACTCAAAACATGTTTGTACATGTTTTATTAGTTGTCAAAACGCAACTTACCAGTGGCGTAGCAGGGGGGGGGAGTTTAGAAGGATTAGGGCAGTGGTTTTTAAGGGACAGCATTTTGAACATGGAACTCAGCTCTCCACCTGAAATGGTACCATTAAAAATCTAGAAAACTCTAAAAATTTGCTGTTACGAGATACTTTTGATTAAAATATAACTCACGCATAGCAAGAGTAGGGATAAGTATAATAATATATTTTATTGTTTTATTCAAATATTAAATAACATACAAATGTATACATTAATGCATTCTCCGTAAATGTGGAAGGTGTAAAGGTGAGGGGTGACAGCAGAAATCCGTGCAACGCCACTGCTTTTATAGAAATTCTATGAGATAAATAAGAAATTAGATTTCAATTTAAAACCAACTAAATACTTGAAGCGCTACTCAAATATATTCTTTTTGCATTTATTTTATAACTAAATACAACATAATACATAGTTTTTTATAAAAGTTACAAAATTAGAGAAAACTTTTACTACCCTCAAAAACCGCTGTATTTATATTATGTGCTATCTCTTTCTGTCTGTTTCTGTAAGGTACCTATTATGTATCTTGAGATGCTATTATAGATGATTGGTTTCATCAGGCTATAAAGGGTACAACTACACTGAAAAAACTAGAATCTGAAATAGTTGGTGGCTCACTAAACACATGCAATGTCTTCGTCGGTCAGTATTTTTTATTTAAGTAAAGGAAAACAGGCAACACAGCTTACCTATTATTGAGTAGTTTTCTTTCTTAGTCTGCAAAAGTCTATTTGAACTTGAACCTCTCTCATTGGGAGGACTTTGTCTGGAGTAGGATGACTTAGCACTAACACAATTTCGAGGTAACAACTAAAATGTCGATTAATAATTACTTTAAAAGCTTTCCCTAAAGGCGGAGTATATCTCCAAATTTAAACAGGACCACTCCTGAGCCCTATTGCATTAAAAAAAAAAATCATTAAAATCCGTTCACAATTGACAAAGACATTGCGTACAAAACAACATACAGTTGAATTATACTTGTGTGTGTGGTCCGTTGCAGTCTACAAGGTAGCTAACTTAATCTATTTGAGCTGTAAAAATTTAACAATTTGCATATATGTATATTTCTTTTAATTTATTATAATATAATATTTGTTTTTATATCATGTGCTTATTACATTGTTTTTTATTAATATACGAATTTTGATTGTTGTAAATGTAGGGAATTCGATGTATAGATTACAAACTGAGCCTTAAATTTCTGTAGTTTATTACACTTATCTTTGAACTTGAATATTTATTTTGTTATTTGAATGAAGTTCTTTATCGCGCTATTTGTAAATATCAATAAATCATAAACCTTATTTTTTCCTAATTAAGGTTCTTGGTTGTTTGATATTTACGAATTATTAGGGGAAAATTTAATTTATTAAAAACCAAGGTATTTCAGGGTGATTTTCCTGTACCTACTTATATAAATTTTTTTTTTATAAAACAAAAATAGTACAAAAGGTTTGTAATATCTGCATAAAAAGTCACTTACTCTCCATTTCAAGGAAAACACGTGGAAAAACACGTAGTTTGCCACTAAAATCAAGTATCCTTTCGTTTGCAACTGATGTTTGATGTCAACTAAACTTAATCAGGTGTAAACAATAGACATTATTTTCACACATGGCTGATGGCACAATAGGCGTGTCATCTATTTCGGCTTGGTCACAGTGGTTTTACAGGAATAGAATAGAATTTTTTTTTTTTTTTTTTTATTTAAAAACGTTACCTCCACACTAGGATTTTCTCCTGTGTCGTGGAGGCAGTTTACAAACACAAATTGCACGAGGACAAACATCCAGACCCGGAACAATTATTTGTAGGCCATACAAACACTTGTTCCGTGCGGGATTCGAACCCGCGGCACCCAGCGCAACAACTCATTACTAAGCCACTACACTACGGAGCCGTCGAGCTCATATTCAATATAGAGCACAAGAATACATAGCTTAGCTTAGCCATTGGTTTGAAAAAAACCTCCCTCCCAGGCGCAATCATCAAGAAACCCAGCTGGACGTTTTTTAAATACAATATAATATGTTTTACAACTACGCGGTGTAAGAATATCGTCTACCCTCATCTCGTAGATGTGGTAAGAGGCGACAAAGGGAAACAGACCAGGAGATGGGCAGCAGCATCTTTCACAACTGGGAAATAAAAACTACAGTATGGCGGCTATCCCACTTATGAAGTATTTCTATGGTCAGGGCCTATATTCAGTAGTGAACTTTGAAAGGCTGTGATGAATTTTTATATTATATGTGGTAGAGCCATGCTGCAGCTATATTGTGGTTATAGTTGTAGAAAGAATGGGTCGGCTCGACCGGAGAAGGACCACGCTCTCACAGAATACCAGCGTGAAATAGCAGCCTAATGCTGCTGTGTTTCGTATGGTGAGAGTAGAAAACCGGAGACCCTTTTTACTGGAAACGAGGCATTCCATCTTAGGCCTCAGGGGCGACAACGCATCTGCATTTTATTTCTTAATCGAGGACGGATGATCTGTGCT